ACATTTATTAGTTTGTGAGCTAACAATCAAGACACATTTATTAGTTTGTGAGCTAACAATCAAGACACATTTATTAGTTTGTGAGCTAACAATCAAGCACATTTATTAGTTTGTGAGCTAACAATCAAGCACATTTATTAGTTTGTGAGCTAACAATCAAGACACATTTATTAGTTTGCGAGCTAACAATCAGACACATTTATTAGTTTGCGAGCTAACAATCAGACACATTTCTTAGTTTGCGAGCTAACAATCAGACACATTTCTTAGTTTGCGACCTAGCAATTAGACACATTTATTCTTTTGCGACCTAGCAATCAGATATTTATTAGTTTGTAAGCTAACAATCAAGACATATTTATTAGTTTGTGAGCTAACAATAAAATATATTTTTTATTTTTATAGAATATTTTGGTAGAAGTTCTTTTCACTGATCCTTGCCAATTCGAGTACCTCACCCCTGTGGTAAGGCTAATAGCAACTGTTCATTCACACTCATCTCTGTCTTCATGTTTTATTTTATTAATAAACCAATATATTATTATAACCAATTTTCATAGAGTAAACATCACAGTCAAAATGTGTCTCATCCAATACAAGCAGGCTAAATATGTAATAAAAAAACAAGTTGATAAGCCACCTTGAGTAAATAATAAAACACAGAAGTTGGCAGTGTTGAAAACTCAGCTTTTTATTTTTCCTCCACTTTAATATTTAATTTTTACTAATTTTTTAAAAATAAGTTTGAGGATAATTATTTGAGAATTAATGATATGTTTCAATTAGTGAGTAAAAACACACAAAAATATAAATAATGTAACGAAAGTCTGAAACTCCACCTTAATCAGTTGAAATGGAAGTTTGAGAATGTTTGATTTCCTACACCACGTTTGGTTATAACAATGATTTGGAAAACAGAAACAGTTTTCCTTTCTTTGCAAAGACATCAAATTTTTGCAAGCTTATGCATAACCTTTTTAATTAAAAAGTAAGAAAATTATCCATTAAAAACTCTTTGTAATATTCAAAGGTACATGCATGACTCACCGGGGCTAGATGCTGTCAGTGTGGCCGATTCAGGCTGAGTTGTGGTCACGCCCCCATCTGTGATGGCTCCACTGACAGCAGGAAAATAAGCAAACCTTGCATCTGTGGTCTGGGCATCTGATGTTGGACTTATATCACCATTTGGTGAGGAGTAATTGGTAATGATTGTTTGAGCAACTTGCTGGCCAATTAATGCTCCCGCTGTAGTGACGACATGGCCAGAACTGTCCACGTTCACATCGCAATCCGATGCTACTTGTACCACACGGTAAGTCACAGTACCTGTTATGTTGAAATCAATAATTGAAATGTATACAACTAATACAGATTGTACGCTGTATAAATAAAAAACATCAGTAAGATATTCCCTTTCACACTCATTCAATAAAATGTTATATGAAATTTCTCACGTATTTTGAAAATCATGCACAATACAAATACTATTCTGAAACATTAAAACCGTGGGCTAGGGTAAATGTTTATAGTACCTATTTTGGAAAATAGAAAAGATAAGAGGTTCTTATTTTATATTCTAGCTTGTCAGTATCAGTAATGTGAGTATCTAACTTGTAAGAAACTATAGACTTTGTATTTGGACATCACAAACATATAATTTGAACCAATGCTGCACTCAACATACCACATGACACACAAAAATTGATATTTAGGTGTGTTTTTTAAAATTTATTCTTAAATTAAGAAATTAACTAATGTACATTACTAATGTTAAAATTATAATCTACAATTTGATACCAAACTTACTGACATAGATTCATAAAATAGTAATTCAATAAAATTCTGAATACGAGTCAACAAACTCGATGACATGGCCTTTGTCTAGTGTCGATAGGGTTCAGTGGAAACCCCTTACACTTGAAAGTGACAACATAAAAGGGATTTCCCAAAGATGCTTTTCAATTTTTCATTTAAAGTCTGGAATTGTTTTAGCTTTTCTGTATTTAACAGGTGACTGTAAAAACTTTTATATGCATCATTAGTTAAATGTTGCCCATGTACGTTTATACAGAAATAAACAAACAATGTGACTGAAGAATAAAAACATTTCTAAAGCTCACCATGACCATTTTCTGTTCTTAGTTGATACTGGAGTGTAGGAGTAAGAAGATTACTGACATGGTGCGGAGCGTGAAGTTCTGTGCCACTTTCAACGACCTGTATGTCCACTGGGTTAACAGAACCATCTACAAAATCAAGACTTAAAGATTCAGAGTTACAAACAAATGACTGAATATCTATTTTTTATATACGAAGAAAATATTAAACGTAATATATTTCACTCAATAAACAATCATAATGATCATTATGGTAACATTCTCCTTTAAAAATAGCAACTTAGCTGTACAGTACTGTATGCCTTGAACCGAGCTTACCTAGAATATTGTAATCCTGTACAACATTTTTTAAACTGATGTAACGATCACATCATCTCTACGATGATTTAAACCAAGAGCTGAAGCTCTGGTAGCTCGGTCGGTCAATATATTAAAGTCAGCTGGTGATCCTTGGGTCATCTATGTACCGTTCATACAACCAGTTACAACATGTACATACAGTGTTTGTGTATAGGTATTTAAAACTATAAGAAAACATAAAAACCATGGCCTATTGTATTAGTTTGTTTTGGCCAAGTCTCATTGTGTGTATACAAATTCAGCAGAATAAACAATGCTTAATCAAAGTGTAGAGGAATAGACCGACAAATTTATTGTATTTTCTGGCTTGACAGGTGATAAAAAAAGGATATACTGGTTTCTTGAATTTGTCTGGTAAACGACTTAAACTTGTTGAAACGTTGTACATTTGTAATAAAGTTTCTGTCACTACCTACTCAAGCTGTCTTCAAACTATAAATTTCTCTAACATTTTTCACACCAAATTTGAATGAATTGGATAGAAATGGTGTAAATTCACCAAACATTGGACAGTTATTATTACTGAATGTTAAGAAAATATTGTGGTAACTAGTCTATCCTTAGGTTATGTAGGTTAATATTTTTGGAATTTCCATACGCATAAGTTCCATTAATAATGCCTATCAGTGATTGGTTAGTTTGAAACATATCGCATATACAAGCATAAGCCAAATTAACAGATTTAAAATCAAACATTGAAAAATAAAATGCAACAAAAAACTTAAGACTATTACTTTTACACCAAACATTCTATATTTCTGATGTATGCTCACATGGTACTCGTGAAGTATAGGTTAAAATACTTCAAAACACACACACAACATTATTAGCCATTACCACTTCAACAGAAAAGTCATACAGGCAATTCACTGTTGTTACCAACTTCATAACTGATTTTAAAAAATCAGGAAAAAACATGGGAAATTCATTTACTAGCAATGGACTACATTAACACAGCACGATGGACTACATTAACACAGCACGATGGACTACATTAACACAGCATTATACTGGGAATATTCTGTGCATTTTACAATAACTTTTAAACTCTTGTCGTTAAGAACTAGTTCTCAAACACCAACAAAAGGTGAAAAAAAATAAAAATGCACTGAAATAAAAACATGCCAGTAAAATATCTACACACTGGAGGATTTTGGTACTGGCCAAAGCACAGGCTTTGGGTAGTTTTGTTCCATCATTTAACATCTGTCAGCAATTTCTTGCTCGTGTTACATTTTTAGACAGATTAACAGTATTTGTGAACTCGTAACTTATAGTTAAAAAAACACACGCATGTACCACAACTCTCTCCAAAAATTCACGTGTTTATTGTGAACTGTGCTAGTGCATGATGACATCATCATGTGACCGCCACCAATAGAAGGGTGACACACTCTCCATGCAGAGCAACTCTCCTTAAACACTTGTACTTGAAATAACTTCATTCTTAGACAAGGCAAGTAGAAAGTGCACCAGAAGTGGGGAGGATGGATGTGAGTATCTATTGGAAATACATTTTCAGAGCAACTCTCCTTAAACACTTGTACTTGAAATAACTTCATTCTTAGACAAGGTAAGTAGAAAGTGCACCAGAAGTGGGGAGGATGGATGTGAGTATCTATTGGAAATACATTTTCATATTGGGAAAATAGTAACTTCTGAGATGATATCCCACCTCATCACACAGAACTGCTAGAAGCCCACGTTTAATTGGTTGAAAAGCCAATTCAAATTTATACCCAAGTAAGCTCCCCTTCAGAAAGCATCCAAAAGGAAAACTTATGAGGTGCGACACCCAATGGCAGGTGTTCCATAGAGGCACACCCATGGGAGACCTTGTCTTGTCTCGACCAAGGTACATTCTTCACCCAAAATGGAAAAAGGGGGAGATGCAAATAAGCCCAAAGTGTTGCAGGGATGGGCAAAATAACAACATAACCATCCGAGCACTTGCACACAAGTTGTCAATGAGCCAATAAGCATAATGTACGATTAGATTGTACAGGGTGTGCCCACCTTGACTCAACTGGACAGACTCAGGCTGCAGAAAGAGGGCACACTAGCTGTTCAAGGGATGAACTGCACTACTCTGACAGTGTTACCACTGCCCTACTTCTCATCATATTGTACTAAGCCCAATCTGTGAGAAACTCCAAGATCAATCATCCCAGTAGCTAGAAACTGGTAAGTGGCAAGAATCTCCCATGCTACACCTGATTGGGGGAGGGTATTCACACTGGGAAGACCCGGAGAATTATTGAAATCCCCTATGGATGCCTACCGTAAAGGTCTGTTACTGGAAACAGTGCAACAAGATGGGCACCCACTGGGCCTAACTTGATGGGATAATCATTGATGAGACGAGCAACAAACCAGATGTTGGGAAGCAGTAAGAGGAAGGCCTGGAAGCTGAAATTGGAAGGTTAAGAGTAGACTGATCCAATCAAGGAACAGGAGTCAAAAGGTGAGGTTGAGAAAGATGAGAAATTAGGGAAGGTACCAAGGAATGATGCTGGGGTGATTCAGCTTGAGTTTCCAGTGAATCAGGTATACCACCAAAGACTTCTGGGTAAAGAAATGGAGTCCAACAAAATCATGTAGATAAAAAGAAGGATGGATATTAATGAGGACTGCATCTTGAACCAACAGCAGAGGAACCACACAAGGAAAGACTGAGAAGAACTGGGACAGGACAAGGTAGTAAAGAGAAAGGAATAAAAATCTTCAGAAAACCCCTCAGGGGCACAAAGTACCTCAGACATAAGGTGGAGTGAGGAGAGGTAATGCACGAGCATGGCAAGAAAAAGAAGAATGTGCAAAACTGGATACTAGAGAACAAAATAGAAGACAAGGTGGTTCATTTTCCAAGCAGGCAAAAAAAGATTCCAAAGACTAGGAATCCAGAAAAGAAAAGGAAGAATGGCTGGAAGCCATGGCAAAAAAAGTCCAGAAGGTACGAAAAATGAGGCAGGTGGTCACATGTGCAAAAATGATTGAGAAAGGAGTCAGCATAAACATCAGGTGAAAGAGGAAAGAAAAAGTAATACGAAGAATTGGTTTTGTGGAGTAAATAACAGGAAGAATCAAGGCAAAAGAGAATGATAGTAAAATACTTGAGAAATCATCTCAAGAAAGATATTGGAAGGGTGAGGATTTTCCTTGACCAATAAGTCAGTATTCAAAGCAAACCAAATAGCGGAGAACAGCTGATCGCATTTGTCATCCTCTTGGTCATTCTCAAACGAAGATGTAAGAACATTGGACAGATGGAGGCCAAGTATGCATAAGGGAACTTGCAACATCCTGCATGAC